CGACCTCGTAATGTTCAAGTAAGGAACACTCAATCACAGAAAGTGTACATGTAGAAATTGTGTGCAAATTGAAATATAGCACAATAGTGGAGTCCACACTACTTCTGGAACAGGTATGCCCTTCACCCAGATAATGTGAAATAAAAACATGGGCGATAAAGGCTATCCAGCCCCAGTGACAAAACTGTAACATCATGAGAAAAATCATGCAAGGAGGAACATCTATTCCAAAACTAGTTCCTCCTGTAATACCAGATGCATCTGGTCTGGTAATATTGTACTTACTCACGAAAATGTTCCAGACCCAAACATTACAGATGAGGTCCCATGTCTCATTGTTGAAAGGTGTAGTGGCTAGGGCATTGGGACTGCAGTGTGATATAACTGTATTATAGTAAAATGATATTAAAGGAACCCAACCTGAAAGTTACAGAATTTTGTATGCCGGGCTATCAGAATTACGAAGAGAAGGCAAGCAACACAAAAGTAGACAAACCCTCACCCCTCCCTGATAAAGCACAAAATGCAACAAACTGAACTCAGAATTATGGGCCCAGGAACCCAACCTGAAAGTTACAAAATGTTGCATATGAGCCACTAGAATTTTGAAGAGAAGGCTTATGTCCAACCTGAAGAAAACAGAGATAATCTAGTCTGGGATTATGAACCTAAGTCCTAACCCCCAACCTGAGAGGAAAAGCAATGCCCCTGCCCCAGGAATTACAAAGATGTGGAACAAACAAAGTTCAACCAATGGCTCAAGGACTTGACACTCCATGTGCAGAATTATGAGAAGTTGAGGACCCTCTTCCATTATCACAAAAAGTAATGTAATGACCAAAAAGAAGGGTCATGCTCAGCACAACCAGATAGCAGAGTGCCATCACTGATCTAGAATTACGAGGAGGCTCCCATGTAGGCTGGTCCTGTTCCCACCTGACATCTGGGAAAACCATCAAGGGTTATGTGTGGAAGAGTATCCAGCTTTGATTTCTTCTCCTTGAATAGAATAAAGTGTTCAAACATCCCTCAGAGGAATAGACCTATGTTCACCATTCCAGCGGCTAGAAACTGGGAGTGGTAAGGACTCCCAGGTTCCAATATGGAGAAATGGGGAGGGAATTTGTGTTGGGGAATCCTGAGGAACAATGCTCCAAAGATGGTGCAATTGGTGAACTACATTCCCTATTTTAAAAAGCAAATGAACCCCAATTTATTCAATCCAAGGGTCAGCAGGGATGGGCAAAATCACTTTATGCTTTACTCATGATAGTATCTGAGTGTGAAGTTCTGCCAAGTGGCAGGAAGGAGCAAGAAGAAGCCAGTTGTGAATGCCCAATGAGTGAATATGATGTGAAAAGGGTCTGACAATCCAGCGAAAAACATATGAGGCAGATGTGAGGCTAAATGGAAGAGCATGAAACTGAAAACCTGATTGTCATGCACAAAATGGAGATAACACCGTGAAGACTCCATGATCAGAATATAAGGGTAAGCATAGGTGACAATGAATTTTGTCATCCATAGACCAGATGAAAAGAGCCACCAAAGGGAAACAAATGACTCCATTGTAAACCAACCCAGATAGCATGTGTCTACCAGCCTTGATTCTGGCATTGTACTGGATTTGTTGGCTTTGTGTCAATCCTGCCCATCTTTCATCAGGTCTGCATCAGTGCTGTAATGTATGATGAGTGCTGGCCATCAACACTCAAGACAGTGCTGGTTTCATGTTAGTAGGCTTTACAACGTTGATTATATATATACCAAAACATTCTTCATATTAAAACTTTTAGTTATAAAACTGATTTATTAATATGTTTGTAGAAAACACATCAGTACCTCATGGATTTGTATTTTACCAATATTATATAAACATATGAAAGTACAGATCATATTTAGCTTATTTATTTTACTGGATACCAACTGAGCATGCACATTAGTTTTATATATATATGTGTGTATAACTATTAAAGTCGCAATTATAAATTGTATTAACTGAAAAATATAAACATTTCTAAATTAATTTACACAAAATATATTGACCACACAATAAGAGGTTAGTATTTTAATATGTATTGAAAGTGAAATTCTTATTTAATCTACCATTTAGGTCTAACATATGTTACATCAATTTAAACCTGTAAGATAAGTGTAGACAAAATAAAACTTATGATTGGAACTTTAGCTTTCTCATAATGAAACCAGATATACGTAGATCCAATTCAAATTATGAACTATGAATCTTTCAAAATGAATTAATTAACTTTAGGTAAAACAATGTAAGCATGACTTGACTGAGAAGGAGATAATTATGGATTCAATTTTTCATGAATATCATACACATACTAATTTGAATACCAGGTTTTTGGAACACTTAATTTTGACAAATTTTAGAAAATTATTATTTATCGTTAAGCAAAATTCATCTTTTGCACAATGTACCATTGTTATATTGTTAGGCATATGAAGAACAGCTCTATAAAACTTAAAACTGCTGTGTCTACATTAATCAAGAAATTAATATTAAGAACATTCATCTGTTCATAATATGTATTGTACATTTTTGTATATATAATTAAATATAAAAAATTACTCGATGTAAAACGATATTGCATGTTTAATTTTAATATAATAAAGATTTTACTGTTACCCATCTTTGTGTCTAATGTATAAGAATTCTTTAGAGGATGCTATACCTCTACTCATCTGCTGCTGGATCAACTGACTGAACTAAGGTTTTAATGTAATCTCATTCAAACAACTTTTCTCATGATTGTGTTCAAATTACTCATATCATGAAGAAGCATAACTGAATCATTCACAATGCTAGTCTGAATGACACACATGAATCAATTTGTTAATTCAACAGAGCAACATGTATCAGAAGCTTATGCATGAGATTCAGAGGTAGTTAAATGTCAGTATGATGAAAATAAAACCTCAGTCTTATAGTCAGATATTAACTTTTAGGTGAGGGTTTCCAAAAATTGGACAAAAAATCAAATGGCCATCAACTTCTGCATTGTGATGATGTTCACACACAAATGTAGCAAAATATTTGAAAACTATAACAGAAGAGCAAGAATCTAATAATACTGAACAAGTGCACAGTAGTATTAGTATCAAAGATACATTCTTGTCTAGTGAACCAGGTTTCGTTGACTGATGATGCTTTTGGCATATTAAGTAACAATGCTATACAGATTGATATACAAAATGAATTTTGTGAAGAAACTATGTATAAAACATCAACAAATTCTGAGTCTGATGGCCTTTCAGAAAATGAAGAAAGCACACTATCTGACAGTTTGAGAGAATGGGAATTAGAATTTAACATTTCTCTGGTAGTACTATCCTCTTTACTTGTCAGGTTGAAAGCACATCATCCAACATTGCCCAAGGATGCCAAGAAGTCTGCTAAAGACAGGAAGAACATTAGATATTCAACAAAAAGCTGGTGGTTGTTACTACCATTTTGGAATTTTTTCTGCATTTCATGATATAATAATATCTCTAAAGGATGGCAATGTTTGAAGTTGCAAATAAATACTGATGGACTTCCCTTATTTCAAAGTTCCAGCCAACAATTCTGGCCAATTTTGGGAATGCTTCAGGGCTTTTATCAAGTTCATCGTGTTATAATTGGACTTTTCTGTGGTAATAAAAAGCCAAGTTCATCTGAGGAATTCCTAGAGATGTTTGTGCAGGACCTTAAACATTTGGAGGCAGGATTTGAGTTCCAAGGCTACAAACTAACCATGAAAATATCCTCAGTAGTATGTGATACTCCAGCACGGTCATTTGTGAAAAATACTAAATCACACAATGGCTATTATGGCTGTGACAGATGCAGGCAATCTGGAGAATATATGTCAAGTCGAATGACATACCCAGAAATAAGTGCAAAAATACAAACAGATGTTGCTTTTAATGAAATGGTGGTGGATGAGAATTATCATCTAGGGCTATCACCATTCTGCGAGTTATCTGTTGGAATGGTTTCAAAGTTTCCACTACATTATAAGCATTTGGTTTGTTTAGAGGTCATGATATGTTTGCTACATTTCTGGATGAAAGGACCCCTACAATGTCGATTGCCTCCCAATAGTATTTCAAATTTATCACCTACTACTGTTTGTTGGCACATATATATTAGCAAGTCCTAAGTTGTGATAATGCACATAATGTTTTAGTGTCTTTTGTACTGCATTATGTCCAAGTTTATGGTAGTTCTTTGTTGGTATATAATGTACATGGATTGGTTCTCCTTACAGATGTTGTTAAAGTTCATGGACATTTTGATTCATTTTCAGCTTTTCCATAAAAAAAATTTTAAGAGGTTTATTAGAAAGCCTCACACATCTTAAGTGCAAGTTGTTCACAGGATATATGAATATGGGTGTAGACAGAAGCAGTGTTGTCGACCTTGTAAGAATGAAATAAAGTTTAAGAAGGAACATTTTGATTGTCCAGTGCTAAAAAATCCTATAGTTTCTGCTCAATAAAAACAAGTATTTTTGACAAACATTTGTATTAAAGTAATTACAGGGGATAATTGTGTTATTGTTGGCAATGACATTGTTATTATACATAATATAGTAATAAACTATGATGTAACTTATTTAGTTTATATGAGGTTTATGCACAAGAAATTGTTTTTTCAGTATCCATTGGATTCTAGCTTTCTGAGTGTGTATCTTGTAGGAAACATTTCACAAAGATTACATTATGCTAGATTAGAAGTTGTTGACAAATGTGTTCTTCTCTTTTTGGCAAGATATTTGTAGCAATTCCTTTGTTACATGGAGATGTGAAGTAATAGTGTGTTTACAATTTGATTATTTATCATTTGATATAGAAAAACTATATTGATAAATAGGACTATACAACTGTACTATATTGAGACCTAACTTTGTGATGTAGATGGGTTGCTATTGTAATTAGGTATTTACTGAGAAAAGAGTGGATTTAATATTTTTGGTTTGTCTTATCACAACAAAATATTCTTTGAACATTCCATTAGGATGTTTTATATTGTGGAGTTTACTGAAAAAATTAGGTATATTGTACCACAGTCTTGGGTAGAGGGAGGTGTGTGTGTGTGTATGGCGTACCTACTGCAGGCAGGACAGATTAAAAATAGCTGTAAAGAATAATGAAGAACCCACTGCTGACTGGAGAGAGTATGATGTTCGCATACTTTATTCTGCATGTAGATATTCCTGTTTATAAAATACAACTCTTCATTCTTTAATTACATAGTTATTTTAGATTACAGTTTAAGAGGTGGTGTATTATGGCATAGTTTGGAACTGTAAAATAAATTTTAAGGATATATCAGTTTACAAACTATCCATAATATGTATTTCTTCAAGTAAAGGTATCATTCTGCATAAATATATATTGTTACATTGTATATTTTGCATATGTTTGAAAGTTTTAAATGTGTACAAAAAGTAATATTTAAATATAATTGACACAACTTTATACTTCAGATACATATGAATCAGTTTGACTAGAGCTTCCTCGAGCAGTAGTTATTTCAGATTTGCAAACTGAAGAAGAAACACCTAACAGGCCTAAACAGAAGTGAATGTAAAGTACATTTCTAGAACTAGTAGATTTTTTATAATGTAAAGAAAATGTTTGATCTTACATTAAACTGTTCCCTAATACTTCCACATCACAATTATCCTTGAACAGCCAACCCTTATTAGTTCATTTATGACTTAATGTGGTGTCCCTTAGAATTATGTACAAAAGCATCTATATTTAAAGGATAAAGCCTGATTACATGAAAGAGATAAGAGGTGTTGGCAATCTTCTACATAAGATTATAACTTCCAAGTCTTCGTACGTCATAAATTGTTCATATTATTATACGTATTCATCCAGATAATGTGATTGAGGGGGGATAAACACACAAAGAAATATAGATATTTTTGCTTCTAAAATCAGTAAGCATTGTATATATTATATTCCATATAAAATACAGCATTAATTAAGTATGCCCTTGGAGCAGAGGTGTCATTTTGTTTTGCATTTGGAAATGAACTGTCAGAAGCAGCCACATCAGGGAGAACTGAGAGTATACTCATCCAGTATAATAACTATTAAAAATAATTAATACTTCACACTTTATTGTACATTGTCTTAGTATTTATATTTTCATAAATATTTCTATAGAATTATTAAATTTTTGTTACTTGAATTAATTTATCTTTTACTAGTTTAACTACAAAACTTTTGCCCTACAAATGAAAAATTATTTTTAATATGTTATTCAGCACAAACTTCATCACCTGAAACTAAGAACATCAAGGAGTTCTTCAAACAAATATCAAAACAAACATCAGCTGGGCCAATTGGAAATCTTGATGAATTTCCACGTAGTGGAAATTATATTTAAGTGTTTGTAATATGTACATCATGCTTTTAAAACGTGCTCCTTGTGTTAAAATATAATTTTTATGATGGATATTGACACCCAACTCAATCTGCATAAATGATTTTAAGTTTCATCAGACAGTGACTCAAAGGTATGCTGGTAAATGTTAAAATTGACATTTGTTGATTGTGTGGTATTAAAATATGTTGTGTTCATTCAGATTTTGTTTTTTGCTTGTTTAGCCACTGAGGGACATCTTTTGCATATGATGGAAAAAAAATGCAACAGCAACAAATGCTACATATTTTGCTACTAAACCAAATTCTTTGCCATCTGACAAGCAACGCCCGAGTTCAAAGTGCAGAGCTGCCTGAAGATGTCTCTTTTCCAATTTCCAGCTTTCAAACTATGGATACCATTGAAGGAAAACTTAAGAGATAATGTGGATTTGAAGAGATATATAGTAAGCTTTTCTACTTGTGAAATAGATGACATAAAGATCATAAAACTATTAGAGAAGCAAATGTAGAAATCTATTTGATTAATAAAGTGTTACATATGTTTATTGCAATAGTATGTAGTTCTAGATTATTTGTAAAATGCAAATCTTAGAGAATCTTTTTAATTTCAGGTAGCTCACTTGGGAATAACAAGGGCATTAACTCTTTCAGCATGGGCTCAGTCCCTCAGACTGACCTCGTAACCAGTTTGTGCTTGTTATAGTTTTCATGCTATGTTAACGAAATTTGGCAGATTATCAGTAAACATTACAATGCTTTCATGTGCAAAATATAACTCTTTTTTTTATTAAGTCTTAAGGTTTGCAAAGCAAAGTTTTTCTCATTCTTTTTTTTTTCTTTTCGTATGTTGCCTATCAAACATGCAAAGTAACTCTCATTTTAACATTAAAAATACTTTTGTGCAACACAAAATTTTCAACTTTCACATGTGAAATCTTTATAATGTGCAGATAGTTAACAAGCACTTCTTAAGAAAAAACTTCATATTTTATCTGTTATTTTCAGTAACAAATCTCTGTACGGGTTTGGTCAATTTAACTGATCTCGTAACCACCATAAAAAATTAGGAAATAAATACAAATTATGCCTTTTTCATTCCAGAATGACTACATATTATAACATGAAAACATAAATGTTTAGACTAAATAGCTTAAATATCATAACATTATGCATTTATATATATTTATTATTTTTATTATATTGACCTTTAAGCCATGCCTGGCTAACAATACAGAAGTTACAATAACGTGGCGCATGTGCACTCATGTTACCATTAGTCTTTACAAAGTGACCTGTCTTGGCTGTGTTTTAGTAGACTATCATTTTGTTAAATACAGTCACATAGCAATTATTATACATCATATATGTATATAGGTTATTGCTATTTAGAAATAAGTTCTTAAATTTATTTTTCTTAAACATAGAACAGTAAATAAAGAAGTAAAGCAAACAATTGTCTCTTCTAGTTACGACATTTGTACTTCGTTGCTGCTTGACATGGGTTGCTAAGCCTTTTAAAATTGGCACATGGAGGATATGAAGTAAAATATTTTTTTTAGGTTTATATATATACAGGTGAATAACTAAAAAAATCATAAATGACAACATCAATATCATAGAATTCAACTATAAATTACCAAGCTTAGTAACTAAGATGGATTTTACTCTTTAAAAAATACGAAATTTTGAGCAAACTAAAGACAAATTCATGAAATAATAGTTCAATAAAATTTTGAATGCGAGTCAACAAACATGATGACATGGCCTTTCATTCATTACCCATCTGGAAAAGAAACTGTGTATCGCATTATTGCCAATCCATTGGCATGACAAATAAACTGGAATGGTGTACTTGGCAAACATTCATTCAAGAATCTGAAGCTGGAAACTGTTGTTATCCGTATGTGTCAGAATTTAAAATAAAGCATGTGTATATATAATTTTCCTTTTTGCCAATTGTCAAATTGAAAAGCTTTTAGTTATGTTTCTTAATAGTATAAATATATATTATGTTGTTGTTGGGCTTAGGAATATTCCACAGTAGGTGACTTGTTAGCGATAAATTCAGTGATGAATAAACAGCATGCACTTCACTTGTTTTCAAAATAACTTATATATATATTTAGAACAAGTTAACCTATATAAAATAAATTCTTCAACACTATAGATATTATGGACATATCATTAATACTATATATGTAGTTCTTTCCTACTTTTCAAATATTCACTGAGGCCTATTCAATTACTTTAGAATTTCAGTTGACAAGCCAAACTATCTTCTCTATTTCTATCGCACTAGTATTCTCTGTGATTCACTTACAATTGTGGTGCGGATTACCATAATCATTTGGTCTTCTTTCTTTTGAAGATTCTCTGTTCTATTTGTCAAATTGCACTCAGGCTGATTCGATTACTTTAAAACCAGGCTTTGATGGAATAAAATTATTTTTCTTATCTTCTTTTCTACTGTTAGTTTCACTGTAACATATTAAACGTTAGACCTATGTCAATCGTTAGGCCTATCACTTCTATGGTAGTTAACTTCCCACCAACTTTATTCTCTTTTGCTATTATCTGTCTGCTGTTCCTGCTCATCTCATGCTATTTATATCTTTATCACTTAATCGTCTGTCCACCTTCTATATTCTCAATGTCAATGTATTATTAACAAAACTTCCTACAATCGTCTGCTTCCAACTCTTATTAAAACAAAACTGAATAATAATAATATATTCACTCACAAAAATAAATTAATCACTGATATCTAAACCAAACAATCTTTGATATCATGATATAAACCCTTCTTCAAGATAAAATATTTAAAAAATGTTTTATTACTATATACAAAGACTGTTCTTAGTTCATACACAAAGTCTGTTTGAACATTTACAGTCCCCTTGACAGCTTCAACGCGGAACATGTAGTTCAAAAGGTACAATGACCACCTCATGATCCTTGCACTGTCGATCTTGCTACTTTGAATGTATGCAAGTGGTTGATGGTCTGTCTGGATGATGAACTCCTTCCCATATAGATAGTTCTGGAATTTCCAAATGGCAAATATAATGGCCAGACACTCTCGTTCAATCATTGAATAGTTCTTCTCACTATTTAACATCTTTATACTAGTATATGTTACTGGAAACAATCCATCTTCATGTTCTTACAAGAGTACTGCCCCAATTCCAATGTCTGAAGCATCAGCCTGAACAATGAATGGTTTGTTGAAGTATGGCATTTTAAGAATTGGTGAGCTTACCACCATGTTCGATGACGAGGAACCCACTTTGAGACTAATGATGGCTGGAGACGGCTTAAATGGGTAATGAAGAAAAA